TTTGGTGTTTTTGAGACATGGTGTCCCTGTAGCCCCAGCTGGCCTGGAACTCATTGTGTAGACTAGGCTGGCCTTGAACTCACAGAGATTTGCTTGCCTCTGCCTCCTGAGTGCTGAGACTAATGGAGTGTGCCACCATGCCAGGCCAAAAATAAATAATTTTGTTTTTTTAAAAAATAACCAGGCAAAAGAATTTATTATTCATTTGTATTAATGTGTGTCTGAGCATATGTATGTGCACCACATGTGTGCAGGTACAAGAGAAGCCAGAAAAGGGCAATGGGTCCACTGGAACAGGAGTTTACAGGCAGTTGTGAGCCACCCATTTGGGTACTGGGAACTGAACCCAGGTCCTCTGCAAGAGCAGCAAATGTTCTTAACTGCTGAGCCATCTTTCTAGCCCCAAACACATACTTCACTATCCCCATTGCCATTTTCTATCATTTAGTCACAACAGACTGAAACCAACTCAAGTATCACCTCATGAAAGACTTCTGATTGCTGAATGCATACATTATTATTCATTCTTTTGGGGTGTGTGTGTGTGTCTTTTTGAGACAGGGTCTCCCTGTAGCCCCAGCTGGCCTGGCCTGGAACTCACTGTGCAAACCAGGCTAGCCTCAGTCTCACAGAGATCAGCCTGCCTTTACCTCCCCTTCCAAGTGTTGGGATTAAAGGCATGTGCTACCATGTCCAGCTCCTTGCCAAAAATTTAAACTGTGCTATTTGTCTTTTTATTGTTGAGGTGGAAGAGTCTTTTACATATTCTGGTAATCAGACCCTTAACATATATATGATTGTGAAATATTATACTGTGAGCTGCCCTTTTATTTTTTTATATCATTCCTCCATGCACAAATATTTAATTTTGATGACATACAATTATCTTTTTGGGGGGTTGTCATATCCAACAAGCCAGTACCCAATCTAAGGTCATGAAGACTTACCTCATGTTTCCTTCTAAGAGTTTTATATATTCTTTATTTCTTTATTGTTTATAATATCTAATACAACATAAATGCAATGCAGATACAGCACTGAGGAAATAATGACAGGAAAAATGTCTGTATAAATTCAGTTCAGTTCCCTTTGCCATATCTCCCTGGAGTCTTAAAAGGTTTTTTTTTTTGAGATTTTTTTTTTTTTAAACTAAAGGTATTTTAGTGTGTGTGTGGTTTTTTGTTTTTGTTTTTTTTTTTTTTAAAAAAAAAAACAAAACCAAACCAGGATCTCCCGTAGCCCCAGCTCACCTAGAACTCACTATGTAGAACAGGCTGGCCTCTATCCCGACAACACAGCAGACAGTAGCAGGGATAACAGAGTATAAGGGCTCTAGTGTGGGGAGGAAGGCTATGGGAGGGTCCCATCTGGAAGAGGTAGGACCATAGGAGAAGGGTATTATTAAGGGAGAAAGCGGAGAAATGGGGGTACCTTAAGTGGGAAAACCATGATGGAGGGGTGAGACAATGTGAGAGATAATGCCTAGCTAGTTTTGAAAAACAGAGGGAACCATATTACTCCTACAACCTACTGACAAATGTATAAATAGTAGATCAAGAAGTGTATGTCTAGGTAAGGTTTATCTGAGAATAACAGGTCTTTGCCCAAGATTTATCTACATGACACACAGTAATTAAAAATACCAGACTGGTGGAACTAACCTTCTTAGATGTTTAACAGACATACTCTGAGGACTATAATAATTTGGCCAGAGGGACATAAAGGACACTTTTTGCTCCTTGCGCTCCTAGGTCAACTAGTTCCAGGGGACTATGAGCATCTCTCAAAATGTCTTGTATT